TAATGGGACTAAGGCAAGGCAAAAAAGCCTTTCATCATAAAATGTATTAAATCTATAAATCTTGCTTAGTCTCTCCCCCAGCAATTTTTTTTTTTCTTATTTACTTCACAGTTGCATTATTTCATTCTCTGTAGAGATTTATGGCAACATTATATGACATCTCCTGGGCTTTCATAGTCTATCCCCTCTTACAGCTCTCTCTTAATGCCACAGGTTATAAAATATAGATTTCATCTCATTTTAGAAAGAGGAAGGGGGGAAGAAGTCCTGTGCAAATCTTTCAGTCACAGAAAGGCCTTCACATGCTGAAGTCTATCATCATGAGCAGATTCATCAAGTCTTTTGGCAACAGCAATTCTGCCTGTTTTGAGGGATGGGTGATTTCTGCAGTGTACCCCAGAGTCCTGATTTCCCAGTTCGAATCAGCAATGCAGCAAAGGTGTGCCCCAGAGTGCAGCTGGGTCACATTCTCAAGTTTGGTGGAGTTGTCTCAGTCTTCCCATTTAGATGTAGTCAGTGCTGTTCACTGATGTGTCTTCCCAGGGCTGGCTCAAAGAGATCACTCTTTTCAAGAGAAGTCTCAGAGAAAAATACCCCCTTCTCATCCATCCCACTTTGGGAATGGGAAATAAAATGTAGAAAACTAGAAGTGGCAGCCAAATTGTCACAGGATTCTTCATTCAAATGAAAGGGGTCCTTCCGATGGCAAGTGGCATTATAATTATAGACTAGAAAAGAGCAAGATCAGCAGCTGCTGCTGCTTGCGTTTGTTCCCTCTGTAACTGACAGGACAGAGTACTTGGCAAAAACAGACTTCCAGAAGTGGAAAGACATTTTAACCCCTGTTCTTGTCAGTCCAGTCCTCCTGAGGCTCGGCAGCAGCAACCCCTTGCTTCAGGTTAAGGGAAGAGCAAGGTGACTATTGCAGACCCAAAGGGGACTTTATTTGGGACATCTGACGAAGAGAAAGGATCCAAGACTTGCCTTGGGGCTTGGATCAAAATAGCAGGTCAGTGGATATAGCGTGATTTTAATATGCTTTTATAGTAGGCTTAACTTGAATGTTTCTTGCTCACATTCTCCACTATGCCATAAACCAAGGAATAAGGTGATACAATGACAAGGGGTAGGTCTGTGCAGGGGCACTCTTTATTTATACATTCTGTATTATGCCTTTCATGGTCAGTTAGGAAATGCTGATGACTGTTATTTTTTACTGTGGTTTTCTCTCCGAATCCTAATGCATCCTGAAATTTTAATCTAGGCAAAAAACCCCATTTGCACTTGGGCTCAATATTTGTGTGAGGGAAAAAAAAAAATTTATTTTTAGTTGTTTGTGCCTAAAGGCTTTTGATGATCTTAGCAAAAGTGGAGTAATATACAACTCACATTTCAGCCTGTGCTAGAGAAAGTTTCAGAAAGGGAACAAATACAGAGCAAAAAGAAAAGCAGCATCATAGATATGACCCCAAGACTCTACAGGCACAAAATGGGCATAACTTGTGTTATGACCTCAGAACTCATGAAGCCGTATTAGCAGAAAGCCTAGCTTTATATCTGCTAATGAATTAAGGGCAACACAATTAATAAGAAAGTCTCTCATGACCCCAGTGCCTGTGGTGTCTAATCTAATGCTCTTTATGCATCTTCAAGCCAGCCTAAGCAGCACTCAGGCAGGAATGTGCTAGGGGGCATCATTATGCTTTGCTCTTCCTGTCTATCTCAGTTTTAGCTTTTTAATTTCCTGTGGCCATGAGTAATGTTGGAAGGACTCTCAGTCAACATGCTGCAGGTGAACCAAGGGCTTGGGACCACCATGCAAGGACCAGGCCCAGCACAACACTTTACACCAAAAGTTCCCACTGGGGAAGGGGCTGTACCCAAGTGATTGTAGTTGTTCCTAGAGAATAAAACACCAGTGGCAAGTTTAAATCTGTGCTTGCTATGTTGCGAAATCTATCAGACAGACACATGGCTGTCTTTCATAGCTTCATATAGTTTAAAGGGTTCTTAGATCACCTAATCTGACCTAATGTATATTTTAGGATGTTACATTATATTACCCTGAAGTCCCTACATGAACCCAATGATAAATGCACAGTAAAACATTTGCTTAGCAGGAAGCTAAAACACAGTGTATCACAAGCGTGGCAGGGCAAGTAAACCAAGGCATCAAAGCCTGAATCTGGTGTAACAGTACCACTTTTCTTTGCCCCATTTCAGAGGCAGAAAGAAAAAGCTGCAGGCACCCGGTGCCTCCCAAGCTAATGTGAAGAGTTTCTATTCAGAGCAAACAGCTTCCAGTAAAGTGTTAAGAGAGAGAGCTGGAATATTTCTGAGTGAAATACAGATGCCTGAGTTAAGCAAACAAATTCCACTTCAATTAGAAAACTATCCCAGTCTAATGTGGGGGGAAATATTCTTAATCCTCAATCCTATTATCATTATAGCTCTGCAGCTGTGGCCAAAACCCATCCACTAGGCCCTGCAAGACAGGATTTGCTGCTGGTCAGTAGAGGAGATAGACCTATTTCGTCCATTTTTTCCAAAAACTACTGGCTAGTTTTTGTCACCGACTAGTCACTGATGCCTGGGAGGACAACTCCTTCCTCAACCTGATATACAGAAACTGAGAGCCATGGATTTGACTTTAATCACTGCCTTCCTGCAGAGCTGCAGATGCCATGAGGGTGCTGCAGGCAATCTTGTTCCCTTCATGCCCCAGGGCAGAAGGTTTCAGAGATAGCAGGCAAGATCAGCAGAGCCACTCAGTTCCAACCCTGTAGGTACCACCCATGTCAATTCTTCTTGAACATCATCCTTTGTCAGACTATATACTCTCATCTTAAAGATCCTAAACCACAGCATGTCTGACCAGTCCCTTGTTTCAATATTTGTTTGCCCCCATGGTTAGCGATTTATGTTTTACTGCAGACTTCAGTTGTCTAACATCATCTTCTAATAGTTGTAGTGTTTTACTCTGGAGGTCTGAGTTCTCACCATGCTGTAAGCCCCCACTGTTGTTACCGACACCCGATCCCCGGGATAGCTGCCACCCAACCTCTACCGTTGGGTGCCATCACAGACACTGGCTTCAATGTGAAGGATGCTGCAAATGGCGTTTATTGCGCAGCTGCAATTGCTTATATAGCACAAGCCACACCCACAGCGCCCCTCGTGGGCAGTCTGAGCTTTCCGTTACATCGCGAGATCTTCCGCACGCCGATCCCTGCCTAGGGCGGGCTCTGCTCACCACAACACCTCACATTATCAGATAGCTTTTCTAAATCTAAGTCCCTACATGGAGGCAGTCCCACTGGAGGTTTCTGTTACAATTTCACTATCGGTGGGGAGAAAGAGGCGTGCTTCTTGACGATATGTCTTGAAAACACATACTTCCCAGCATCAATGGGCAAGGTCTAAAGCCTCCTACAATGATCCCAGGAAACTCAGCGTATCATTAAGGGTATTTTTTACCCATTCCTCCCCTATAACCCAGCCACAGGCTTCTCCTGTTTTTTATAAAGCCCCATTTCTGCTGGAGGATGGAAATCTCTGCTTCCATTTTCTTAAGCGTAGCATCCTGACCACAGGCTTTTTAGCAGACAGGACTGTATTTCTGCATGCCAATCAGCCAGTTTGGCTCCTGAATTGAACTTTCTGGACTTCAGCAATGACACCAAAAAAAATTTAAAGGCCTGTGCCAGGGCTTGGAAACGGGAAAACCATCATTTGGAAGCTAAAGAATAAAACCCACACATCTTAAAAAAACAATAACATCAAAAAAAAAAACAAACCTCCAAGCCCATGTCAGCAAATCTCAAGCAGCCATTCTGCAGACAAGACAATCTGTCAGCGATAGAAGGCCTATGGTGTCTTTTCCTACTGATTGCCTTGGTGACAAAAAGAAAAGTGGCACTTCTACAGCTGAATTTTAATGGCTTACTTTATGCTCTGCATCAGAGACACAGCCAAGTTCCATAAAATTCTGTCAAGCCATCTATTAACTAAGGGTTCAGAATTTTTTTCTGAGAGTAGATGATGTACAGTAACATCAAGAAAATATAATCAAAAATTATATTTATGACACACAATAACTACCTTGAGGCTTTGTGCTTGTCTTAGTTACTCCCTTTCTTGCATGCTGTCATGAACTACTTTCATCCACATTCAGAGTTAGGGTTTTTTTTTGTATGTACTTAAAAGTTCCTGTAGCATCTCACTACTCTGGGTGAAAGCAAGTAACAAACCCAATGTAAAATATTTACCTGTATAGTACTGCCTTAATTACACTGTGTTGCAGACTGTCTAGCTGAGCAACCCTATGGCTTTCTTTGCATGGCCACGCAATACTGAAGCATTGATGAGTATGTCTAGCTGCCAAGCCAAGAAATAATAGGGTTCCCCAGCTGATCTCAGCTGCTGTTGTAACCATTAATGAAAGAGGCAGCCTCCAAATCTCATTTGCTTTCAGATGAGTATAATTACCAAAGCTAGCTAAAAATACTGGCTGGAGAGGAAGGTGCATTTGTGGAATTCAGCTTTACTTCTCTTGCTGGAGTGCTGACATAGTTTTGATAAAAAAATTTCAAGCAAATTTACTTCCTTTTCTAGAAGAAGCAAACTGAGAGTATGCAGAGGCTTCAGAGGTGTAACATCTCCTTGTCACTCCCAACCATGCAGGTGGCCGTATCTGGTGCTAGCTGTTACTTTTGGGTTGTCTTTGGGGTAAAGCCCACATACAGTCTTGCATCAGTCAATCTGCAGGTCTCAACAGGCCTTGTCACTGCAAGATGCTTATTTCTCTCTCTCCTTCTAGATATAAAAACACACAGGGTATGTATTTATGTATACATAAACTATTTTATATATGTACATGTGTATCTGTCTATCTATCTATCTATCTATACCAGGGTGCATTCAGGTTGGGATATGCTGTCTAAAATGTTGTTGGTTTCCTGCTTCTCTTCTACTCTTTCTAGGCACAGCCTGCCAAGACGATGACAGTCACATATTCCAGCAAAGTAGCAAATGCCACTTTCTTTGGATTTCACAGATTACTGCTAAAGTGGAAAGGCAGCATCTACAAATTGCTGTACAGAGAATTTATTGTTTTTGCTACTCTTTACACAGCGATAAGTGTATTATACAGGTACACTCTTT